AACCCACTTCATCATCTCTCTCTACTTTCTATTTCTTATTTTCTCTTGTACCATGTGTTTTAAAACTTGTACCTTAATTGTTTTGTATTTTTTTTTTAATTGAATGGGTTGAGTGGGTTCAAAAAGATAGGATTTCTGTGTGTTGTGGGTTCGGAAAGATGAAGAAAAATAAAAGAGAAAAAGTGATGTGACAGTGAGTTCAGTGGGTTGGGAGGGAACGACTCCCTCCTCCCTAAATGGTCCATTTAAAAAAACTACATAATTGGTTCCTGTTTTAAAAAACTGCAATAATGGTTCCTGTTTATAAAAATGCATAAATGTTCATTATTTTAAAAAACTAGATTAACGATCCCTACTACAAAAAATGCAGAAATGGTCCTTATTTTTTCAACAACAGCAATGTACTTTCTTTATGAAAAATATCAATTTAGGAAAATGTATCAAAATGTTACCCGAAACTGATGTGTTGTAGCGACCGGTACGTTGTCCATCTTCTCTAGCTAGTCCACCTCGTTTACCACGTGCACCTGTTTTTGACATTATGCTTTTTGTAACTATAAAGAAAAATAAACACATTTATAATTCAGGCGATAATACTAAATTTAAAAGGAAAAAGCTTGTTACTCAAAGCTAACCTATAAGTATCACTTAAATCATGAAAAACAATCGGCATCATCACTATTAGGATTAGGATCATTAGAATCACCATCAGTCTCTGAATCAAGAATAACTTCATTATTTAAAAAATTCTACCATCATCATCGAATTCATCATCAACGTCATCTAAGTTATCAACAACAACATTTATATTACGTATTGCTAGCATGGTCTCAAGTGGTAATGTTTTAGGTTCTACTTCATTTCGAACTATTAGAGTGGTGTTTGGTAACTCTTTGGACGCTTGAAAAGGTGGCAACTCACTAGATTCCTCTTCTTGAGATATATCGTTCATCGATACTTCGTCTTCGTCATGTTGTACTATATCATAAATATTGTGATGGTTTACTTTTTGAACCACCATCCAATTCTTCCCACGTGCAAAATCATTCAAATAGAAAACCTATTGAGCTTGGATGGAGAGAATAAATGGTTCATTTTCATACCACTTAGATGTAATGTCAATTGAGGTCAAATTGTGATCAACAACCATCTTTTTTCCTTTTGGATCGGTATTATACCACTTGCATCGAAACACAAATACCTTTCTCCCGAGTATGAAATCCAACTCCAAAACATCAAGTAGAACACCATAATAAATCAATGCTTCATTCTCATCCCCTACACAAACTCCACTACAGTGTGTTTTAAACTTGGCATCACGATCCTTGCAGTGAAATCTAACACCATGGACGATACAACTTTGCCAACTTGTGTAGCAATCATCAGGAAATTGTGACAAGGCATACAAATCATCAGTTGCTTTGGAATCACAATTAGCCCTAAGCAAAGTTATCTATAAACTCCTTTGATTAGTTATAAATATACTTAAAATCAATTATTAAAAGTAACAAGTTTGAAGTTTTACCTTTTTCCTAAACCAAGAGGGAAATTCATTTTTTTGTATGGTATCTATATTTGCTTGTATATTTCTCGAGTATAAAGCTCCTTTG